TTTTTTTTTTTTTTTGATACCTGGGTTTGAACTCAGGGACACTGGACCACTGAGCCACAGCCACAGCCTTATTTTACATTTTATTTATAGACAGGGTCTCACTGAGTTGCTTAGTGCCTCACTTTTGCTGAGGCTGGCTTTGAATTCACAATCCTCCTGCCTCAGCTTCCCAAGCCTCTGGGGTTACAGGTATGCACCACCACGCCTAGCTGAATCTCCTTTTCTTTAAGAATGAATAATATTCCTTTCTTTCCCACTTCATATATATACACAGATACATATACACATATATATCCTTCCTTTTTTTTTTAAGTATTGTGGATTGGGCTGGGGATGTGGCTCAAGCGGTAGTGTGCTCACCTGGCATGCATGCAGCCCAGGTTCGATCCTCAGCACCACATACAAACAAAGATGTTGTGTCCGCAGAAAGCTAAAAAAAAATAAATATTAAAATTCTCTGTCTCTCTCTCTCTAAAAAAAAAATATTTTAAAAAAGAGTATTGTGGATTGAACCACCCAGGAACACTGCAGCACTGAACTACATCCCCTGCCTACTTTATATTTTTATTTTTAAAATTTTGATACAGAGTCTTGCTAAGGTGTCCTAAATTGACCTTGAACTTGCAATCCTGCCTCAGCCTCCCAAGTACCTGAGATTATAGGCATGTGTCACCACCATGCCCAGCTCTACATTTTTTTTCTTCATTCACCCATGTATAGATATTTAGGTTGTCCCATGAAACAATCTCATCTCTATTTTATAGATGAGGCATCTGAGACCTAGACATGTCCAAAGAGTTACTTCCCTGAGGCCACAAAGCTCACAGGGGCAATGTTGGATTTGTTCCCAGACTATCAAAGACCAAGCGTGGGGCTGGGGTTGTGGCTCACCGGTAGAGCACTTGCCTAGCATGTGCAAGGCCCTCGGTTCAATTCTAAGCACCACATAAAAATAAATAAATAAAATAAAGGTATTGTGTCCAACTACAACTAAAAAATAAAACATTAAAAAAATATTAAAAAGACCAAGCCATGAATTGGCTTGTATTTTATTCATTCCTTTGTTCAATAAATATTGGTCGTATATGTCAGACATTGTTCTTTGGCATGATGAACAAAACATATCGACAGTGCATACTCTCGTAGAGCTTGCATCCTCCTGGAAGAGACAGACAACACACAAAAAATGACAAAAGAATTATCTACTGTGTCAGGAGCTGATAAGGGAAAAGGAAAGAAACAGAGCAGGGTAAGGGTGTGGGAGAGGCTTTATAATTTTGGTCAGGATGGTCAGGGGAGACCTCATTAAGGAAATAAAGCTTCAGCCAAGCCTTGCTGGAAGTAGGGAATGAGTATCTGGAGAAGAGTGTTCTAGATAAAGGACAAGCAAGTGTAAAGGCCCTGAGGCAGGAACATGGGCTGGTATGAAAACCATAGTGATTGGATTGTAATCTGGAAGGTGGGAGTGGTGGTGTGGCTGGATTAGTAGGAGATAGGTCTCCTTGTGTGTTTAGAACTGTTTTCTAGGCATGTTCTAGAAAACCTGGCCACTAATGATCATGTAGTGTTATTAAGAGGTAAGATGGGGGGGGGCTGGGTTGTGGCTCAGTGGTAGAGTGCTTGCCTAGTAAGCATGTGTGAGGCACTGGGTTTGATCCTCAGCACCACATAAAAAAATAAATTAAATAAAGGTACTGTGTCCATCTATAACTTAAAAAATATTTTAAAATAAATCAATAAGTAAAATGGGTACAGTAGCGCACGCCTGTAATCCCAGTAGCTCAGAGGCTGAGACAGTAGGATCGCAAGTTCAAAGCCAGCCTCAGCAACTCAGTGAGGCCGTAAGCAACTCAGTGAGATCCTGTCTCTAAATAAAATACAAAATAAGGCTGGGGATATGGCTCAGTGGTCGAGTGTCCCTGAGTTCAATCCCTGGTACCAAAAATAAATAAATAAGTAAAATTAGGGTGTTGGGTCCATCTACAACACACACACACACACACACACACGCACACATATATGTATATATTTAAGAGATGAGGCTGAAACACTGAAGGGGTGGATTTCTCCTTGGGGTTTGTTATATCAGTTGGGCTTTAGGGCAAAAGGCTGTCAAAGAACAGCTCTTTGTAGAAATGGAGCTTTCCTGGGGTTCTCCTGGGCTCTGGCAGTCTAGAAAGGAGGTGCAGACCTTGTCCTAGGCCTGGAGAATTGCCAGTGTAGGGGTCCCTGAGGCCTGGCCGGGCACACGGCCTCCAGCCCCAGGGTGGCCATGTCTGCAGTGTTGACCCATCTATGTGTCACCAGGGAAGGGAACACAGGTCTGGAAGAAGAATGGAGCCATCTATGAAGGGGACTGGAAGTTTGGGAAGCGAGATGGCTATGGCACCCTCAGCCTTCCTGAAAAAGGAAGTAGAAAGTACCAGAGAGTCTACTCCGGCTGGTGGAAAGAGGATAAGAAATCTGTGAGTGTGGTTCCCAGCATGCCCTGGGTGGGGGTGGGTCTGATACCTGCTGAGTGTGAGAAAGTCAGTGTGTAAGAGCCTGGAGCCCAGAGAGTGTGACCTACATTGGGAAAGACCCCCTGGAGAAGAGTGTTCTAGACAAAGGACAAGCAAGTGTAAAGGCCCTGAGGCAGGAACATGGGCTGGTATGAAAACCATAGTGATTGGATTGTAATCTGGAAGGTGGGAGTGGTGGTGTGGCTGGATTAGTAGGAGATAGGTCTCCTTGTGTGTTTAGAACTGTTTTCTAGGCATGTTCTAGAAAACCTGGCCACTAATGGTCATGTAGTGTTATTAAGAGGTAAGACTGGGGGGCGGGGCTGGGTTGTGGCTCAGTGGTAGAGTGCTTGCCTAGCAAGGGTCAAAGCTTTTCAGAACAAAACCCAGGAAACAGGAAGCAAGAGGAGTGGGGGCCCAGGGAGGAGCCCATGAAACCCTGGGGCTCCAAGGAGACCACAGGCCTGTCAGGCCAGGCTGAGGTCTCCTCCACCCTCCTCCTCATCATTTCCTGCCTTTCTTTTCCCTGGGCATCTCTTCTGAGAATTCCCCTTTTGGGGGATACTGGGCCTGGATAAAAGGGGAGGGTAGGAAACTGTCAACAAAATGTAGAGCCACACCCTTGGCCATAGCACAAGAAAGGAAGAAGGGGATAGAAGCCAGTCAGCAGAGCCATGAACTCCCAAACAGGGACAGGTTCCCTCAAGTTATTTTCACAGACTTGGAGGAATCTTCATTTTAAGCCACATGGAGACAGTATGGCAAGGGAGACTTGGTGGCAGGACACCTGCAGTCCTACTGATTCAGGAAGTTGAGGCAGAAGGATCACAAGTTCGAGGCCAGTTTGGGCAACTTAACAAGATTCTGTCTCAAAAAAAAAAAAAAAATTAAAAGGGCCAAGGATGTAACTCAGTGGTAGAGCACCCCTGGGTTCCAACCCCAGCAGTACAGTGGGGTGGGGGAAGGGTGCCCTGGCTGCTGAAGGACGGAAGGGGATCTGAAGGGAGGGAGAGGGGATGGTGGGCTGCGTGCAGGGGTAGCAGAGGGACAGAGAAAAGTGGACAGTCTGAGGTCTTTCAAGGTATGGCCCTCCCTCCGCTTGGATGGAGAGCTGAGCGAAGACAGAGCTCAAGTTGGTGGCTTGGTGCCTGGGAAGGTGATGCGCTTCTCTTGTGGTGGGAGCTCTGTGAACAGAAACACTTTTGTGCTTTCAGGGCTATGGGGTCCAGTTTTTCGGACCCAAGGAGTATTACGAGGGCGAGTGGTGTAGCAACCAGCGCTGCGGGTGGGGCCGAATGTACTACAGCAACGGAGACATCTACGAGGGCCAGTGGTGGAAGGACAAGCCGGACGGGGAGGGCATGCTGCGCCTGAGTGAGTGCTCCGCCCCTGCCGGGCCCGCCCCAAAGCTGGGCCCGCCCCACCTGCTGACCACGCCCCAACGCTGGCTCCGCCTCACCCCATCAAGCCACGCCCAATGCTCTGTGGCCACGCCCCTGACGCCCTGCTGGCCGCTGGCCGCGCCCCTTAGCAGGATAAGAGCTTAAGGTGCCGGGATCCTTCCCTCTGTTGGATCCTATGCTCTAATAAGGGAGCTATAAGCAGATAAATAACACAATTTTTTATTGCCATAGTAATCATAGCACGGAGTTCATTTAATCCTCACAACAATCCTGTGAATTGGAAGTTCTAATCACAGAAGTTACAGAGAAGCAAAGTCCTTTGCTCAAGGTCATACAGGCTTTTAGTTATGGATCAAAGGTCCTAAGGAATTTTTAAAAAACAGGAAGGTGTGTTGGGAAATGGCAAAGAACTTGGGTCAGGCAATGCCTCCAAGAGTCGGTGATATTGAACATTTGGAAGGCCAACCTGAGGAAGAGGGAGAGGCAGAGTTGCAGTGAGCTTGGGAAGGGCACATCAAGCAATAATTAATTTTCACTAATTACTAGTGAAAAGCACAGTGGGCCAGGACTTAATCTTCAGTATTGTCTATGCATAGGAACCAAAACGAGGTTTTTTTGTTTATTATTGGGGATGGAACCCAGGGGCACTCTACCACTGAGCTGCATTCCACTCTTTTTTGTTTTTTATTTTTTGAGACTGGGTCTCACTAAGTTGCACAGGCCAGCCTGGAATTTTCAATCCTTCTGCCTGGGCCTCTGGAGTTACTGGGATTACCCATGTGCACCACTATGCCTGACGATTTGAGCTTTTAAAGGCATAAATTGGATCTCATCTGTTTTTAAATCTTTCATAGCTCTCTGTTGCTATGAACTCAAACTGAGTTCAAGTTCTATGGTTTTTGCCCTCACACCCCTCTAGTTTCACCTGCATGCCCCACCATGCCCCGCTCCCATACTGGGACCTTGCACTAGTCTGGAATGCTTTCCCCTAGATGTTTGCAGTATCTCCTCCTTTGTGAGGTTCTCATTATTCTCAGTACCTGCTTCCTTTCTTTCTAGCACTAGGTGTATCAACTTGGGCAAGTGACTTCACCTCTCTGTGCCTCAGTTTCCTCATCTGTAAAATAGCCATAATAGCAGTATCCATTTCATAGAGTTGTGTAGGGGGAAGATGAGTCAGTCATCAGTGTGTGTAAAGTTCTAAGAACTTTACAAAAAGAGTCCTTTTTTTTTTTTTTTTTGCTGGGCATTAAACCCAGGAGTACTTTACCACTGAGATAAGTCCCCACACCTTTTTATTTTTTATTTTTGTTTATTTATTTGGTGGTGCTGGGGATTGAACCCAGGGCTTTGTGCATGCAAGGCAAGCACTCTACCAACTGAGCTATATTCCCCAGCCCTTTATTTTTTATTTTGAGACAGGGTCTCACTAGGTTGCTTAGGGCCTTGAGTTGCTGAGCCTGGCCTCATACTTGCAATCCTCCTGCCTCAGCCTCCAGAGTGGTAGGACTATAGGCATGTGCCAACTTGTGTGGCCACAAGATTCTAATTTCCAGTGAGAGTCAGCCAAGCTGAGGCATCAGGGCCACTGAGAAGGTTAGGTGGGCCATTTTTTCTGTCTTTCTAGTCTTCCCCACACCCCAGCTGTGAGCCTAATCACCCTCTGTGAATAACCTGCTGTGGCCTGCCAGTGTGAGTGTATCCTTAAGTGTATCCTTCCTTCCTTCCATTTTTTTTTTTTTTTTTTTTTTTTTTTTGAGTGCTGGGAGGTGATCCCTTGGCCTGACATGCTATGCTTTATCACTGAGCTATATCCTGGTCCTTTCTCTTTTTTATTTTGAGACAGGGTCTCACTAAATTGCCCAGGCTGACCTTGAACTTGTAGTCCTCGTGCCTTAGCCTCCCAAATAGCTGAAATTACAGGTGCCTTTGCCACCATGCCCAGCCAAGTGGTTCATTCCCGTGGCCTGGACTCTGAGACAACCTGCCTGGTTTGAGAACTTGTCCTGAGTTTGTACAAGTGCTAGGACCTCAGGCAATTTGCTTAAACTGTGCTTTGATTTCCTTGTCCATAACTTGTAGATAAAAATTAAAATCATTCTAGGGTTGTAGCTCAGTGGCAGAGTGTGTGCTTAGCATGTACAAGGCCCTGAGTTTGATCCTTACCATCAAAATAAAATAAAACTTTCTGGGATTATTGTGAAGGTCAAATGAGATGTATGTTTGTAAAATGCCTTAGCATGAAGGCTGAAACCTATTAGTAAGTGCTGAATTTTTTAAATTTTAAACTTGGGATTGAATTCAGCTGCCTTATACTACTCAGCTACAGCCCAGTTCTTTTTATTCTTGGGTTTTTTTTTTTTATTTTTTTTAGAGAGAGTGAGAGAGAGGGGGACAGAGAGAGAGAGAGAGAGAGAATTTTAACATTTATTTATTTTTTCTTAGTTCTCGGCGGACACATCTTTGTTGGTATGTGGTGCTGCTGAGGATCGAACCCGGGCCGCACGCATGCTAGGCGAGCGCGCTACCGCTTTAGCCACCTCCCCAGCCCCTTTATTCTTGTTTTGACACAGGGTCTCACTAAGTGGCTGAGGGTCTTGCTGAATTGCTGAGGCTAGCCTTGAATTTAAAATCCTCCTGCCTTAGGCAGGAGTGTACGGGAGGGTTGAACCCAGGGTGCTTAACCACTGAACCACATCCCCAGCCCCTTTTAAATATTTTATTTAGAGACAGGATATCACTGAGTAGTTTAGAGCCTTGCTAAGTTGCTGAGGTCAGCTTTGAACTTGTGATCCTTCTGCCTCAGCCTCCTGAGTGGCTGGGATTACAGGATGCACAACCACACCGGGCTCAGGCTGGTTTGATATGCCCAGCATCCTCACCTCCCTGTCGTTTCCCCAGAGAATGGGAACCGCTATGAGGGTTTCTGGGAGAGAGGCATGAAGAATGGACAAGGACGTTTCTTCTACCTGGACCATGGTCAGCTGTTTGAAGGTTTCTGGGTGGACGATGTGGCCAAGTGTGGCACCATGATCGACTTTGGCCGCGATGAAGCCCCTGAGCCAACTCGGTTCCCTATTCCTGAGGTGAGTCACTTCCCAGGGACCTGCAGCCACACCCAGAGAGAAAGAAAGGAGCCCCTGACTCCACCCAGCCAGGAAACTGATGAGGTTCTGTTTTCAGGCAGGGCATCCCCAACAAGGTGACTCCCATGCTCCTCAAACCAAACCCTGGCTGTTTCCCTCTAGGTCAAACTTCTAGACCCTGATGGTGTGCTGAAGGAAGCCTTGGCCATGTTCCAGAAGACAGAAAAAGAAGGAGATTGATGCCAGGTGAGGAGGTGGCCACACTTGGCACCTTTGAAGAGGTTGAGGCAGCTCCAAGGACCAGAAGGATACACAGGTCTTCTGGGGTCTCCAAAGGGTTGCGGGACAAGACCAGAGAAGGCAGGTTTCCTGCCTCCTATGGTCCAGGTGGTCCTTTTTGGTTCCTCCCCTTCAAAACCCATGTCCCTGGAGACCAGTGCATTCCAGTCCTACCTGAATCTTCCCTCTTGCATGCTGGGCTTTGCTGGGGTGGGCACTGGGCTGGAGTCAGGTGGTTCCCTCACTCCTAAATGCCCTTGAGGTGAGGAGAGTGGGTCCCAAGCCTCCATTTGCACATCTGTGTGATGGGGCCTTGTCCAGGGGTAGCTCCTCCTGGAGTGAGTGTAAGTGAGGCTTGAGAAAAGGGCATTATGTTTTTCAAATGCCAGCTCCATGTCCCCCTCACCCCTGCAGAGAGAGTGTCAAGGCTCAGGAGAAACTCAAGCCATGTCACCCAACTGCTCAGACTGGTGCGGCTCCTGCTGGAGGAGCAAGCAGCGACTCTGGGCATGCCCTTGGCACCCTCAGAGGGCACTCCTCCCAGCATTAGGTCATTCTTTGCTGATAGGGGGGACCAGCTGGCTTTTGGGACTTTCATTCAGTCTTTCATCCTATGACCTCATCTTTGAGTGCATAAGAATAAAGAACCTGGTGGCCTTAGCCCAGGGTCTGTGGTATGAGGAAGGGGTGGGAAGGCTCAGAAAGATGTCAGATGGAGGAGGGCAAGACTGCCTCATGGTTGCATGAATTTCTGGGTGGAGAAAAGCACATGACTCCTGGTCTCTGACCTCTCAGACAGTCCAGAGAGGAGGATGAACCTGCATTCTACCACACTGGCCACCAAGATTTGGTATTAAAGCCTGACCCACCTTCTCAATGTCACACAGAAGCTCTCAATCTTGGAATCCATGGAAACGTTAAAAGCTATGGACAGCCTGGTGCAGTGGCACACACATATAATACAGCAACTTGGGAGGCTGAGGCAGGAGGATCTCAAGTTTGAGGCCAGCCTTAGCAACTTAACAAGACCCTCAAAATAAAAATAAAAAGGACTGGGAGTGTAGCTCAGTGGTGAAGCACCCTGGGTTCCCTTCCCAGTACCTAAATAAATTACCTAATAAATAAAAGCTGTGGATGCCCAGGTCCCATTCCCAGGGAGTCCCATCTAGGATGAGGCCTAGGCATTCAAAGAGTTTCCCAGGGGTTTCTGATGTGGAGCTGAAGACAAGAACCCCTGACCTTCTGGCCATGGATCCCTAAGCTAGTGGCCAGTTTTGCTCTATCTGTAAAATCAAATTTAGAAACATCACAGGAGTGTTTGGAGGACTTGATGCAATAGCATGTTTTGAGGTTAACTGCGGACCATGTGCCCGGGAAGAGTTCTGCAGAATTCTAAGGTAGGCAGCATTCCTGAGAGATAAGAGGGACTCTTGCTTAATGCACCCTAGAGCTAGCCTGCCTGGGCCTGAGTTGTGCCTTCGTGGGAGTGTCACCCAAACTCTCAGTTTTCTGGGCTTCCTCACCTGTAACCTGGGTCAGAACAAGACTTAGCTGCCAGGGTTACTGTGGTTCATTACTACAAGGATGGAACCAAGCAGTGGTTTTAGACCAAGTGAGATTTTTTTATCCCCAGCACCTCAGACATTTGATAATGTCTGGAGACATTTCGAGCTGTCATGATTAGTGAAGCATGCTACTGGGGTCTGGCACGTAGAGACTAGGGATGCTGCTCAATATGCTACAATGTAAGAATGCTGCAGGAGAGCTGTTCATCCCAGTCAACAGTGTCCAGGTAGAGAACACTGAAATCCAGTGATGTTTGTAAAGCCCTCAGGATGTGCTACGCACATAGTAAAAAGCTCAGTAAAGATGCTCCCTGCCCCCTGCATCCTAAGTGGCTTGACCCAGGGTATGGTTCTGTCTGTACCAGACATCAGAATTAAGGCTGGCCATCACAGGATATAAAATCAACTACCAGATGCAGAGTGTTTATCCTATGCCCAGGCCTGTGTCAACAACTTCCTGTGCCTACTCTCCAGTGACTTTGCCCAGACTTGTGAGTTGTCCTGCTATTTTTAATTCCATTAGAGGAGGAAACTGAGGGAGGTTCATAGGTCATCAAGCTAGTACTGTGCCTAAACTTGAATCTATCTGCTTTCAAGGCACGGGAGAGTATGTATAGAAGGTTACCATTCTGTTTTAGAAAAAGCTGGAGGAGGGAAGGTGTGTTTAAATATAAAATAGTGCTAGGCAGCAGCCAAAACTGACAATAATGGTCATCTCTGGGGAGAACAGAGGATCTGGGAACAGGGGTGAGAGCAACTTTTCACTGTTATATTTGGAACCCTGTGAATGTATTATCTGCTGTATTCAAAATATAAATAAAATTGTAACTAAAGGACTGTGATCTTATTCATTTACTTGGATGCTGGGGATGGAACCCAGGGCCTCACAGATGCTAAGCAGATGCTCTACCACTGCACTACACCCAGCCCCAGACTGCTCCTAACTATGAGTCTTGCCCAAGTTGCCTGGGCGTGAGACACCTGGGGTGCTTATTAGAAATAGATTCCAGAGACACACCTAAACCAACTTGAATCAGAATCTCCTGGGGGGTGGGGACTTGGAAATCTGCATCCTACAAGCTAGGCGGGGGATTCTTGAGTCCAGGCAGGTTTAGGAAAGCAAATCTAAGACTATAAGATCACAGCAGAAATGACTACTGCCAAATCCTGCATCTCTGCAGAAGGTAGTGAAGTAGAGATCTTAGGGTGCAGGGTGAATGTGAAGTCATAGGAGGGAGATGAGTATTAGGCTTACCAATGCCCCACCCAACTTTTATTTCAGCTAGAGCACCCCCCCTTTTTTTTTTTTTTTTTTTTGGTATCAGGGTTAAAAGGAGGGACACTTAATTACTAAGCCACATCCCCAGCCTTTTTTAAATTTTGAGACAGGGTCTCACTAAGTTGCTTAGGGCCTTGCTAAATTACTGAGGCTGGCCTTGAATTTGTGATCCTCCTGCTTCAGCCTCTGGAGCCGCCACTGGGATTATAGGAATGCACCATCATGCCTGACTAGCCAGGGCACTTTCTAAAACCATTTTACAGGGCTGGGGATGTGGCTCAAGCGGTAGCACGCTGGCCTGGCATGCCTGCAGCCCGGGTTCGATCCTCAGCACCACATACCAACAAAGATGTTGTGTCGGAAGAGAACTAAAAAATAAATATTAAAAAAAAAAAATTCTCTCTCTCTCTCTCTCCCTCCTCTCTTTCTCTTAAAAAAATAAATAAATAAAACCATTTTACATACTGAGTTTCTGAGATACAGAAATCTCAAACTCAGGGCCTATTGGGACCAGGCAAGTAACAAGTGAACCTGGCCTGGTGTGGGACAAGAGGGAGAGGTGGAGGGGCTGGGGTTGAGGCTCAGTGATAAGAGTGTTTGCCTATCATGTGTGAGGCACTGGGTTCAATTCTCAGCATCACATAAAAATATATAAATAAAATAAAGGTATGTGTCCATCTACAACTAAAAATATTTTTAAAAAAGAAAGAATGAAATAAAAAGAGGGAGAGGTGGAGACTGTGATAAAAATAGGCCTTGGGGAGAGAGGGTGGTGGCAACTCAGCTCCTGCTGCTTCTCTGCAAGGTAAGCCCAGCGCTCCTGCATCTTCCCATTCTTCAAGCAAAACCAGAATAAGCCCAGGTAGGACGTTTGCACAGACCTTCCTTGTATCTGAGCAAGACTTTTCCTGGTCTAAACCTGCCTGGTGCCAGGTAAGGATGCTCAAGATTAAATGAGCTGATGGATATATCAGTGAATGGTGAACTAACATTTTTGCTTGTTTGTTTTAAATGGGTCCTGACACTATCTCTAAACTTATACACTATTTCTGCCAAAACACACACCCTGATTGTAATAATGAGAAAATATTAGAGAAACCAAATTGATAGGACATTCTACATAAAACCACAGGCCTGGACTCTGAAAATGTTAAAATTACAGAAGACAAGAAAGGCTGAGAACCTGTTCCAAACTAAAGGAGGTTAAGACAGGATGATTCATTGCTATGCATGGTTCAGGATTGGAAAAAGCATCATCAGAAGGTCATTTATTCCTGGGACAAGTGGGAAACCGAACATGAATGTTAAACAACTAAAGGATATGACATGGAGTGGGGGGATTTATGCAGTCCAGCCTCATTTGTGGTCTCAGTATTTGTGAACTTGCCTACCTGCTGGGGTCTAACAAGAAGACGAATAATGCCTAACACTGCCTTGTTCTAGTTTCTGTTTCTATTGTAAACAAGCGTCTTTTTTTTCTTCTTCTTCTTGGCAGTACTAGGGATGTAACCCAGGTACACTACCAGGCTACATCCACAGCTCTTTTTCCATTTCATTTTGAGACAAGGTCTTGCTAAGTCACCCAGGCTGGCCTGGAACTTGAGATCCTCTTCCCTCAGTCTCTTAAGTAGCTGAGATTACAGGTGTATACCACTGTGTCCAGCTTCACAGTTTAATATTTAGTGTTACATTTTGATCCTGCTATTTAAAATGGTCCCCAGTGGGCTGAGGATATAGTAGTTCAGTGGTAGAGGAGTGAGGCTAAGGCCCTGGGTTCAATCCCCAGCACAAAAAGAAAAGATTCCCAAATACAGTATTAGAAATCTGTCTAGCATTCCTAAACAGAAGGTGATAATGTCTCTTACAGAGACAACATGTGTGTTAAATAAGCTTTGTTTAGGTATGACTTAATGCTGCTGTTGGCTGTAAGTTCAATGGTAATGAATCAACAATAAAAATGTCTTTAAATAGAATTACACCTAAAACAAGGTAATGTTTTCATTAAATGACAAAAATATCATACCAGAGGCTAGTAGGCAACCAACCCTAGATTTTCCCTAGGAGCAATGGCTCAGTACTGCTCACCTAAAGTTCATGGTGATTTATAGAATGCAACTACCTCAAATAAAAAGAAATGACTATACATATTTTAGTTACTATTTATACAGGTTTTCTGCAGGTTCCAAAGAGTTCTGGGGGGGTGGGGGAGTTGAGGCTGGGCGCCTGTAATCCCAGCACCTCAGGAGTTGGAGGCAGGAGGATTGTGAGTTCAAAGCCAGCCTCAGCAATTTAGTGAGGTGCTAAGCAACTCAGTGAGATCCTGTCTCTAAATAAAATATAAAAAAGGACTGGGGATGTGGCTCAGTAATTGAGTGCCCCTAGTTCAATCCCTAGTACCTCCTCAAAATAAATAGATAGATAAGAAAAAAGAAAAGAAAGAAATGGAAAAGGGGTTGGGAGTGTAGCTCAGTGGGAAAGTGCTTGCCTAGCCCGCACCACACCCTAGGTTCCATCCCCAGTACCACACATATGTGCAGACAGACACAAAAAACTTAAAACTTATTTTATATTTTTCTCTGGTGCTAGGAATCAAACCCTGGGTCTCACAAATGCTAGGTAAGCACTCTGCCATTGAGCTACATCCCAACCCCTCCAAAATATTTTAAAAACTGTTTAGAGGCTTGCCTGACTTGGAACCAGGACACAACAAATACAGACACAAGGAAGAGGTGTCCCTTATGAGTATATTTATGTGCTAACACACATGCACACACTCAACACTCAACGGGGAGGGAGGATGAGACGGAGAGGACAGGAAGCATCTGGGTAGCACTGGCACAGTGATGGAATAGGGACAAAGAGAACATCTGTCCCCACTCTGGCCCCCACTGCCTCCTACCAGGAGGTGGCCCCGGAGCTGGAAGAACAGGAAGTGCTTACTCTCTTAGAGGAAAGTCTCAAAGTGCAGTAATTTCTTGTTTAAAAAGCCCCTTCCCTCTACTCTGTGCCCTGACCAAGCCCGGCCTCCTGCAGGCTGTCCTCAAAGCTGGGGCAGGACAAGGTCATGGGGAAGGGCATAAGGCCAAAGCTCTGAAGGGCCCAGCAGGAGGGCTTAGGCATAGTGGCTGCCAGGTGTCAGGGGGTGGTCCCCTCTGTGGTCCAGCTGGTCCTGTAAGCGAGCAAACTCAGCCAGCTCGTTGAGCTCCTGGAACTGTCGGTCCGTCTTATGGCTGACCAGGGAGCGGTAGAAATGGACAGCAAAGACGATAAAGACCAGGCCGAAGGGGACCATGATGGTGGTAGAGGCGATGGCCGCTGCCTGACCTGGTGTGATGCCACTGCTGACATTGGTGGCCACACCGCTGGGTGAAGGTTTACTGGTGGGGCGCGGCTGGCCTGGCTGTTTCTTAAGGGGCAAGAACTTGACCCAGCAGAGCAGCACCACCTCAGCCAGGAACAGCAGCGTGCCAATGACAGTGGAGAAGGCCCAGGCTAGCTCGATGTGGCGATGCATGCGCTCGTGGGGTGACTCCTTGACGGAATTGAGGTTGTGCACGTTGCTCACGGCCTCAATGTTGGGCAGGATGCAGGTGCTGATCATGAGTGCGAACAAGTGCACGGCCACCAGCACTGTGGTGCAGGCACTGAAGGCGATGAGCAGCCCTGGTGGGTAGTCGTGGTCAGCATCCAGCTGCACCTCCACCATGGCCACCTGGGGGAGAGAGACAGCAGGGTGAGTGGCAGGACTGAATGAACCACGTACACATCTGGCCTCCCCAAAGGCAGGCATGGTGGTGAACACCTGTTGTCCCAGGTACCTGGACACTGAGGCGGAGAGCCATCTGAAAACAGCCTGGGCAGCTCAGTGAGATCCAATCACCAAAAAAAAAAAAAGAAAAAGAAAAAGAAAGAAAAAAAATCAATCAAAAATAAAAATAAGTTGGGCTGGGGTTGGAGCTTAGCAGTAGAGGCACTCTCCTTGCACGTTCGAGACCCTGGGTTTGATCCTCAGCACCACATACAAATAAATAAATAAAATAAAGGTATTGTGTCCAACCACAACTGAAATATTAAAAAAATAAAAATAAGTAATCCTGTCTCTCATCAGGCTATGGGACCCTGGGCCAGTCACTTGCCTCTCTGAGCTTATTTGCATATGTATATAATGGGGATAATGAAGCCTACCCACTTGGTTTTGAGGTAACAGAAAGAGGAGCTGAAGACATAGCTCAGTTGGTAGAGTGCTGGCCTCGCATGCACAAGGTCCTGGGTTCAATCTTCAGCACCACAAATAAGTAGCAAAAAGAACTGGTAAAGAAAGCAAGCCTGGAGCTCATCAGCTGTGTGTCCCTTGGCAAGTCACTTAACCTGTCAGAGCCTCAACTTTATTACCCATAAATAGGGCTATCATATTAATGCAAAGAATTACTTTAACAATTAAGTGAGAGTATCTGGTACAGGATAAACACCTCTCAAATTACATTACCAACCAATCACCATGAATGGACAAAATGGTTAAGTTTTAGATTGTGCATATTTTACCATGATTAAAAAATATATATAGGGGCTGGTGCTAGGGCTCAGTGGTGGAATGCTTGCCTAGCATGGTCGAGGCTGTGGATTCAATCCCCAGCATACCACCAAAAAAAAAAAAAGAGAGGTAACCATCACCATCTCTGTTGGCATCAACTCTCACATCAAGCAGGGCTTCTCCTTTACACCCTGCCCTTGGGACAAGGAACAGGTTGGGGGATGGAGAGGTGAAGGCCCTCCCTCCTCAGGCCCCTTCTGAGAACACAGTACACAGACCAACAAGGAACCAAGAGGTTCCCAGAAGAGAGACACTCAACCCTGGTGTGCCAAGGCCTTCTCCTGCCCAGCTCCAGGGCAATGCACTGGTTGCCCTCCAGTTCCTGGAGACCTGTGGATCTGGGGGTCACCAAGGGCATGCTCCAGGCCTGCTACTTGCTCTTCTCACCTGGGCCTTGCCAATCACCCCTATGTGAAGGAGCCAGTTCATCAGATCTGGGCCAGAGGCAGCGGGCAGCAGGCAGGCTGCCAGGGTCTGCCTGCTCAGCAGGAAGGACGGGAGCAGCAGGCACCAGTGACAATAACATCAAAGGAAGCGTCTTTTTTTCGTGGTACTGGGGATTTAATCCAGGGTTGCTCTACTAATGAACCATGTCCCCAACCCCTTTTGTAATATTTGAGAGGGTCTGGCTACATTGTTGAAAGTCTCACCAAGTTGTGGAGGCTGGCCTTGAACTTGCAATTCTTCTACCTCAGCTTCCAGAGTGGTTGGGATTACAGCAGCGCACCACCAGGCCCAGTTAAAGACAGGGCTTTTTACAAAGCGACTGTGTGTGTGGCAGGCTCAAAGAGGGTGTGTGTGATGCTGGAGCATACCCACTAGCCTCACAGTGGCCTGCCCCACACGCTGAGCTCCGTGCACCTCTAGGTAGCAGGGTGGGCTCCTTCCTCCTCACCAGCTCTCCTCTGCCAGGCTGCCTGGCTTTGAACCCTGATTCCTCTCCCTTAATTAGGCTGTGTGGCTCTGGCAGTTTCCTTCAACTTTCTATGCCTTAGTTTCCACTTCTGTGAAATGGGAATAATAGCACAGGCCTCAGAGGGTTGTCAGGAGGACTGAGTTAATCCATGTGACCTACTTAGTGCCAAGCACACAATAGAATGGCACAAAAAGTGAGTTCAGTTTGGAAACTTCACCCTAAAAACCCACTGTCTCTTCCTGAAATCCTCCTCTAACCCCCAGCGGGGTCTCTAGCCTCCAGATGGAGGAGCAGGATTAGCCAGAGAGCAGCAAGGCCAGTCAGCACACCTGGCTCCTGCTTCTACCTGGCGCACTGGTAAAGACTCTGCCCTGTCTGTAAGGGAGGGAAGCAGCAGGATTAAGGTCAGTCTAGAGCTGACCTTTGAGGATGGAGGAAAGGAATGGATGACTTCAAAACACCCAGTTTATATCCTCAAGGACCTTTTCAATGGGATTCACAGACTTGTGCCTGAGAATTCCCGCATCTGACAGGGATATATACACTTTTCAGCCAGTGAGTTTACAAAACAGTTCAAGCTCATGTAAATTTGGGGCAGTGCCATCAGAATTTTGACTGTTTTTCTTTTAAGATCATTGGTGGCCTAAAGCCAATGCTGAGCATTCCTAATCCATGCGGGTGAGGGTGTTAGGCATCTCAGCCCATGCGGGTGAGGGACTGAGGCAGCAAGGCAGGCCACCAGGGCAGGCAGATCAAGGGCCATATTCCAAGTCTCCTTGCTCTGCCCCCAGGCTTCTCACACCTGGAAAAGTGGGGGCACCCTCTGCAGCCAGGCCTCCTGCCACCTCCCCATACTTCCTCTTCCTGTTTTGGCCTGTTGTCCTGGAACCTGAAACCTGAGAAAGGACAAGTAGGGGAACTGCGGCTGGTTTGCCCCAGGCCCACTAGTTACTGATCTACTCAATGGGAATGTCTAGCATCCTCAGGTAGGTCAGGCCCTAAGCCAGGCACTGGGGTGTCTCTTGCAGAAGGGATGAGTACAGTTAACTTTCAATCTGCTCCCCACCTGGTGCCTCCCCTGCATCCCAGCCACCTCCAGGTCATGTATCTCCCCCTCTAGAGAATCCTTCAGCACCCAGACCCACAGCTGAGTGTGAAACTGGCACCTTTCATTTACAAAGCTGGTGACCTTGGACAAGTATCTCAACCTCTGTGTGACCCAGTTTCTGCATCTATAAAATAGGGGCCCACTCCTTATGGTCACTCTAAAGTTAATGAAGAGAGCCATTTGAACAAGACCTGGCATGTAATAAACTTAAAATGTTGACGATTCTTAGTAATACCTCTATTCTTCCTTTACAAATGAGGAAACTGAGGCTCCGAGAAGTGAGATCAGCTGTCCCCAAGAGCTCCCTGGCTGCTGCATGGGGGATCCCAACTCCAAGCCTCTTGGAAGCCTGTGAGCAACGGGAATCACAGAGTGCAGCTGCCGAGGAGGTTAAATGAGGTTTTGACGTCTAAATGTTTAGCATAGGACCAGCCACAGGAGAAGTTTAATAAATCTTAGTTAAAAAGAAAAAACAGCTTGAAGCGGAAGAGAAATAGCTCCCGGACACTCTGGCCTAGGGCCGGAGGGGGCTGAGCCCATGCGCCCCAATTCCGTCCCTCACTCTGGACCTTACCTGCCCCAAGTGAGGTAGCCAGGTCGCCCAACCCTGGCACAAGGAGAATGTGTACCTTGTACCACACCTGGCCAGATGGCCACCTCTGCAGGACAGAGCCCACTCCACACCATTTGTCACACCCATGGCCTCCAGGGCCAGAAAACTAAGTTTTCTGCAGCTGCTGGGACACACCCAGCCTGGAGATGCCAAAACTAGCCAGCCCTCCTCAGGCCTTAGGCTGAGGAGAGGCTGGGCCCTCTGAGGAAGAGGAAGGGGCCTCTTCCTGTGTTCCGGAAGAAACCCCGTTACCTCACTGGACTCTACCATTCCTAGAACTCCGGCTGCACAGGTAGGCTGAATGTACCACTGTCACATTTGGAACCAAGTTCAATGCCATGGGGCTGCCTACAACAAAGGATTCAGAGTGAGAAGAAAGAACAGTTGTCGTCAATCATAGACCTTGATGGAAACTATTCACAGGCATAAAAGTCGTTGCTTTTTCCAGAAAGCTTCCTGCTTGGGAAATGTCCCCATGGGTGGGGAGAGTAAAGTCAGGGGGACCTCACAGAATCTGGCAGCTGACTGCCAGGGCCCCAGAGGAGTCCCAGAGACATCAGATCAGATCAGATTGCATGCAGCTTCACAAGGTAAATATAGCCCGAGAGCTGGGCCCATAAACCCAAAATAAACAGCTCTCAGCCAGCCAGTCATGAGCCTCTTTGAACCTGGACACACCAGGCTTCCTTGGGATAGGAACGGGGAAAGACCACCAGCCCCGCCTCACTCTGGTCCAGGGACCCCTGCTGGAGATGCCAAGCCTTAAATGAGGCCCCTGAAGGATTACATGATTCTGCAGAGGGCAGGGCCTGACTGACATGACTTGGCCAGGAGTTTGCCCACCCCACCTGAATGCCAGCCACCCCTCCTCATTCCTGCTGGGCTCCATGGAGACCTGGGGCACCTGGTGGTCAAGGTCCCTCTGAGGCAATCCTTCTCCCATAACTGGCCTAACCCCAGCACCCACAGATGGGGGGAATGACTTTTCTCTCCCTAGCTAGGCCTTCTCTTGTTAACCTTTTAGGAGGGTGGGCAGCTACAGCCCAAGGCCTCAGTCCGTAGTCTATAAACTCTTCTTTTTTTTTCTTTCTTTCTTTGGTGCTGGGGATTAAACCCAGGGCCTCACGCATGCTAGGCAAGTGCTGTACCACTGAGCTACATCTCCAGCTCTACAAACTCTTGACTAACACAGCCTACTAGTCCCAAATGTTTCTATAAATACACACACTTTTATAATAGAAATGAAAGTTCTACCAAACACCGCTTATCCTTAAAGCATGCCAATAGCCTGTTCTTACAAGACACGCGCTGCTGCTGTTTCATTTAATTCTTGCTTCATTTGAAAAAACTGATCGCATGCCTGTGATCCTAGTGGCTCAGGAGGCTGAGTCAAGAGGATCCCGAGTTCAAAACCAGAAACTTAGTGAGGCCCTAAGCAACTCAGCGAGATCCTGTCTCTAAATTAAAAACAAAAACAAAACAAA